ATAACTGAGCAGGTATTCGGATACTCTCCGGACTATCGGGTCCCGAGGTTGAAGTGAAAAGTACCGCCAAGACAAATGATCTACAATTCAGCTAGAAGGCATTTATACATGTCACTTTAATTACATAGTCATGCAGACTGACTAAATTCTTCTTCTATACCATCCAACAGGCGGTCTAGCCTACAATCCTGTTAGGAATACTTTGCGGCTAATTCTACTTGCCCATAAACTAAGCTAACAGGGATCTCTTTTCCGTCAGGCCCCACAGGTCCGACCTCGGCCATGTGATTTGGGTCAGCCTTGGTATACCGCGTCTTCACCATGTCCCAGGCTTCTCTGGCACCTTGTCAGCAGGCCGATATCTTCCATAATCAGAAGCGCCGCCGTGCTCCCTTGAGCTTCTCCGTAAGCTCTGCAACGCCCTCTGGCAGGAAGACGGATGGCCACAAGGCCCGGGCAACACCTTGCATCACCTGCCGAACTTGTTCGTGCAAATGTAAGAGCTCAGATAGAAGATCACCCGCACACCCGGGCATTTCCTCCGCGGGACGACCCGTCAGCATACCTACAGACATAACACTGTCAGTCGGCTTCTTCGCCGAACTCCTTCAAAAGGATTCGTTCAAGCACTTACTGAAAATGCCGCGCCGAAGCCGCTTATTCTCCTTCTCGGAGTCTGTAAGCTGGGCCCGAACGTCTTTTAGTTCCACGCACAGCTTGATATTGGTGTCTTGAAGATTGTTTTTCTCCCGCCTAACCTCAGTCAGCACGCGTTTGCCAGCCACTAACTGTCACACGACATGTTGGTCCTCTGGATTTTCTCCAGATTCATCTGCAACATCTATTATTAGATCTGCAACCACGCTGGACACTATATGGTAACCATCATTCCTTAAAGTAAATGTTACCAGCGGGTGACTTTTTCGGTTCCTGCAATGTGGCAACAGCGGCCCGCAGTTGGGTCTTGTATTCCTCTAGCTCCTGTGATAGCCTATTATTCTTCTCTGTAAGAACCTGCACAATAAAGATGATCCTTAAATCAGTTCTGCTAACTGTTTCAAGTCTCAGGGGCTACTGATACATATAAATCGTCAGATTTACTTACCCGTACATCCTTTACATACTGATCCGTGGCTCTGGCTAGACCATCTTGAGCGGCACGGAGGTACGCCTCTCCAGAATTGAAGGCATCAAATGCCTCTGGTGAGAAACAAGTGTCATGGAGTACGGCCCGGCGGCACCTATGATTCATTGCACTTTCCACTTCTGAGTTTGTAGCGGATAATCTATCTGCATCCTCTGTAGGGGGATTATCCGGCGCCCGCCCCATATCGGCTTCCGCCTCTATGTCCGGTCCTGGCACCCGACTGGTGGAAGCGTGATTAGTAACATCGCCGCACATATTTCGACGAGCGTTTTTTCTGTTAAAGAAACACGGGCGTCATTACATTTCGAGAAAGACGACAACCATGGAGCGGGGTTTTTGTTATACCTTTGCACCGGCGTCTCCGTCCTGACCGCCTTCCTTTTTGGCCGGCCCGGCCTCGGTGCCTCTTGTTGGCGAGTTGCTGCGGGTTCGGCAGGACGTCCCGAATGCCTTCCCTGTAAAAATGCCATATGTATATGGTGGGTGAAGTGTCTAAAAGGGGATCCTAGTTTTTGGAGTTGGGATTTTTGGTTTTTCTTACGTGCGATGCAGGGAGCAGTCCGGGATAGTCGTTCGTAATGGCCACCATGGCATCATCACAGCTTAACTGATAGAACTGCCGGTTTATCAGCTCCATGAATATAACTGGATCTTCTTCAAGTCCGGAGTCGAGGGCCTGGTCAGGGTCCTCCGGTTGTGGAGACGGGCTGCTGACCTCCTTTATGGCTTTTCGCAGTTCCTGCCGCAAAGTGGCAAGGTAAATATTTATGACAAATAATGCGGGAAAAATGGGAGTAAGGAGATATAACTTACCCAGCTTGGAGGATTGTACATGGAGAATCTGTCCCGTGGCTTGATGCGGATGAACTCCTCTTCCTCTCCCTTGAACAATTCGGATAGAATTTTTGCTAAAGCGGCAGCATTGTCCGCACCCTTACGCCCGCAGCGGGTGGCATCATCCGCCCCGTTAAAACACCACAAGGGGTGCCCACGATATTGGAGTGGTTGCACTCCCGCATTATGCAAATCGACATAACTTCGACTACTATCAATCCTGATTGAGCCAGTGCTTTAATCCGGTTCATCAGGTAGAGGACTTCTCCATTATCTTCCACCTGGGGGCTCCGTGGGCGCCAACTTCGGCGTTTCTTCAAAGGGGCATTGCTGAACTCAGGAAGACCCCGCCGAACAGGGTCCGGAAGGGGAACGTCCTCCATATAAAACCATTCCGAAGGCCAGTCTTCGGACGACTTCTTCGGGGTACCGAATAGGTATCCGGTACCGGCGATGCGCCATACTTCAGCTCCGCCCACTTGATAAAGTGATCCCCTCTGTGTGCGAGGGATGAGGCAAAATAGCCTTTTCCACAGCTCGAAGTGAGCCTCGTAGCCCAGAAACAACTCGCAGAGAGCAACATAGCCAGCGATATGTAGAATGGAGGCAGGGGTGAAATTGTGTAATTGGAGGCCGTAGAACTCCAGGAGCCCGCGGAGGAACGGATGAATTGGAAATCCGAGTCCCCTCAATAGATAGGGGAGAAGGCATACCCGCTCCCCCATAGGGGGGCTGGGGAAGCTCTCCGCTTGCTCCCCGCCATTGTAGGTGGCGAGCCCGGCTCGGACGGGCACCATATACGTCGGAGAAAGAAATCCCTTGGTCTGCAGTTCGACCAATCGACTGTGTGGGACTGAACACCTCTCCCAATCACTGGGCTTAGGGCTATGGGGGCGGGAGGAGGATCTGCAGAGGTCGGCCATGCTAGAATGGATCTTTCCGAAATGCGCTCTGATGGATTCTTGCTGGGGGGAGGATGGTATGGATCGGATCTAAGAATCCCCATCCCTTTAATAGACAATTTATTTATCTGGCTAGGGGGGCAATTGTAAAAATGCCCTGGTGCCTCGTATTCATTCAACGCGTGGGAGATAGCCCTTATTGGGCACACAAGCCAAGAGGTTTAACATTTATGAGGCCGGACACTACTTACAAACACTCGAAAATTGGAGAAGAACTCGCCTTGCAATGCCGAAGACAACACTGTGCGTCGGACTCATCGTCATTGAAGCCCGGTTCGGGGGCTACTGAGGGAGTCCTGGATTAGGGGGTCTCCGGACAGCCGGACTATATCCTTTGGCCGGACTGTTGGACTATGAAGATACAAGATTGAAGACTTCGTCTCGTGTCCGGATGGGACTCTACTTGGCTTGGAAGGCAAGCTAGGCAATACGGATACATATATCTCCTCCTTTGTAACCGACCTTGTGTAACCCTAGCCCTTTCCGGTTTCTATATAAACCGGAGGGTTTTAATCCGTATGACAACATACAATCATACCATAGGCTAGTTTCTAGGGTTTAGCCTCTCCGATCTCGTGGTAGATCAACTCTTGTAATACTCATATCATCAAGAATAAATCAAGCAGGATGTAGGGTTTTACCTCCATCAAGAGGGCCCGAACCTGGATAAAACATCGTGTCCCCTGCCTCCTGTTACCATCTGCCTTAGACGCACAGTTCGGGACCCCCTACCCGAGATCCGCCGGTTTTGACACCGACAGTGTCCCTGGCCAAGGAGGGATAGGCTGGCCTTAGTAGCCGAGGTTTTATTGACCTTAAAAATTTGTGTGCAAATGTTCTTCAGCAAGGACATATGACTATGCTAGCAATCCAAACCTCAGATACATATTGTATGTGTGTGTGTGTGTGTGTTGCAAATTGCAATCTCCTTCTCCTTACCCTTTACTCTCTTGCAAGTTCAGCACATTTTTTTCTTACACTTACATGCTAGGGTGTTCGGCCTTTCAATATTGTATCCAAATCTCAATGACCACGTGTGCTTTTCAATTTCTTCGATCTCATCTTTCATTACTTTCAATATTCTATCCAAATCTTCAGCAAGAGTGGAGCTAGGAATTTGGGAAATAGAGTCGGCCCTCAAACATAGGCAAACAATGTGGAAAATGTGCTTTTTTGCATGGAACACCTCAAATAACAACTCCAAGGACCATTTCACAAAAATCCCACGTTACAAAGGGGGGATTGGGGATACTCGATGCCATCCCCAATTCCCAAAACCCATCACCATGGACGAGTTCGCCGGTCGCGGCCGCCGCGCCGATTCGCCGCCTCCGCTTTCGTTATTCCCGGACGACATGCTCGTGGAGATCCTCCTCCGCCTCCCGCCGGAGCCCATCCACCTCTTCCGCACCTCCTTCGTCTCCAAGCTCTGGCGCCATCTCGTCCACGACGCTCGCTTCCTTCGCCGCTTCCACGACTTCCACGGGGGGACGTCTCCCGTCCTCGGCTTCTTCAACAACCAGCCGGGGCCTCCCCTCTTCGTCCCCACCTCCGGCGACTTTGGCCCTCCACAGCTGCCAAGATTTCCACCGACAACTGGTGGGCCCTCGACTGCCGCCACGGCCGCTCCCTCCTTGAAAAGTTAGGATCCAAAACACTCCTCGTCTGGGACCTTGTGACCGGAGACCAGCGGTACCTGCGCGTTCCCCTGCTTGTGGTGGATTTGCAACGGCTCGGTTCTCTGCGCGGCTGGACATGCTAACCATGGTGACTGCCATTCGTGCCCGTTCCTGGTGGTCTACGTGTTCAGTCGAAGTGGTTCTGCTATCTGTGCGTGTGTCTGGTCGTCCGAGACTAGCGTCTGGAGTGAGGCAACCTCGATTGACATACCATCTTTATCACTTGTTCCGAGACCGATAGCTCTGGTTGGGAACACACTCTACTGGTTGCTACAAAACTATAGTATCTTTGAGTATGATTTGGATAATCATATGTTGTGTCTAACTGAGGAGTTCCCATGCCATGCTCGCATTAGCTACCAAGGGCTGGTTGTCATCATGCCGACCGAGGATGGACTGCTTGGTTTGGTCGGAGTGGATGGACTCAATCTCCATCTATGGTCATTGATGGCGAGCATTGACGGGTTGGTAACATGGACACATCAAAGGGTCATTGATTTCAAGCAGTTTCTTGCGCCGGAAGTGGTGGCGACATGTATCTATGGAGTGGAGGCAATTGCTTTTGCTGAAGATGCTGGGGTGATCTTCATTTATGTGCACCCTAGCGTCTATATGATCCATCTCAAGTCCATGCGGATCGAGGAGGTGTCAGAGAAAGGGACATATGGCACAGTAATTCCTTACACAAGTTTCTATGCTCTAGGTACTTGTCATTGTGCCGATGTTGCACACTACACTTTAATCTTGTCTGCATCGTGAATGCTATCATCTTTCAAGCATATGGGCCATAGTTCATTGCAGATGAAAAAATAGATTATGAACTTTTCTGCTCTGTACCTACAAATTATTGATCCCACAACCTCCTGGCTTCTGCTGGTTCTCATAGAGTTTGCTTATTCATGTACACTATCATTATCGTCTGCAGGGAGTAGTTATTGGGTCTTGGGTACACTAGCCAGTGTTTTGGTTTCTGCTACGTGTGTGTCCTGTGTTTTCTTTTTGCCTCCAGGCTGGGCTTTCAACTGCTCTGTACAGACTTTCCAATTACTATAATGCCACGACAGAGTGCCTACTTTTACCCGTCAAAATTATCAAATTCACCAACGATAACCCGGTCACAACTAATAAACGCATGGAATTATGAAGTCCTTGCATTCTTACTTGCATATGTTTCTCTTCATCCAGACCCAACATCTATCATTTGTGTCCCATCATAACTCCTAAAGAATTAGTCTGAATTGGGGAGAAATCAACTTATTAATGTACTATCAGGATACTTTTAGATCTCTTATAAATTTAGTCAATGTTGCTCCGTTTAAAGGTGAGTTATCACTATACAGTTGAAAGGAAGAGTATAGTTGTTTCTGAGCGCCGATTTATAATTGTTCGGTCCTTGTTGCCCTGCTGTATTGTTGGATAATATGATCTCACTGACACATGAGAGTTGTGTTGCATAATATGATGGCAACTAATTAGCAACTCATTGCAAGATTTGTTTCTCTTTAAGTTTAAGCTACTAGATTCAGTTAAGGTAAATCGGTGGGAGGGGAGGCCTATCTATCGGTGGGGAGGGTGCTACGAACGAATGAAACGACCTACGTGCTGCCCCTTTTAACCTTGTATTACATGTCATTTCTAAAATCTTCCTTATCTTGTTGCAAAATCAAGTGTTTTGTGCAAGGTGAGATATGTAACGGTGGCTTCATTGAAGTGTCGCCATCTTGTATCAGTTATTTTTTGCCCACAATTGCCATTAATATTGACTCATTCTTCTCATAGGTGTTACCATTGGTGGTGGAAATGATCAAGCTGAAATGTTGAACAACAATTGAGATGATTGCACTGTCACATCTATGGAGATGCTTTGTTGATTAAAGAGGTGGTGTGGCGTTTAACCTACTGTATTTCTCTTGTTTTGCTTGCATGTTGAATATTTTGCCGTGCATATGCAACGGGTTGATATTCTCAGCATTGGTAAAGAAGCTGATGTGCTATATTGAATGCAGTTAGAACCCTGAACCATGTGTTTTAGTTCTGTTTCTCTTGCCCTTAGACGGCAACATCTCTCAGTTCGATCTTATTCGGCTTTTCTCTTGGAGATGTGAAACACTTCCCTCTGCATCTGCGCAGTTCATATTTCATTGTGCTAATGTGCTTCAGTGAAGCAATTTATCATGTTAGACATTTAATATCCTTTTGATGTATAGTCGCAGCAGCATGAACTGGAGTATGCATTTCAGAAAATACAGTGACTAGAAGGTTTCTGTCCTTCAAACATGAAGTCAAGCTCCCATTTATGTGGGTTCAATAAATCTCAACTTTCCTAATCATCTTGAGACAGAAGTATAATTGGAGATGTTTCTTCATCATGCCTTGCCGCTGGTGTTTACATGATGTTACCCTTGTTGTATACAAAGTTTACCACCACACATGACCTGTAAGCTTGATAGTACATTGTTCACCTCTGGCAGCCTATGGTTTTATGGTTCGCTGCATGTCGTTTTTGTACTGAGATGTGGAAAGAGATGTGAGAACATGTTTAACTGTTGAAACTGTTTTCCTGGTGCTGTTTGAACTTGCAGATACTGTTTTCGCTGAATTGTTTCCCTAACAAGTAACCAAAATCAGCTCCGTTGATGAAGTTTACCACCGCACTGTGCAGGTACCTAGGTCATGTTCTTTGTCATCGTGAAGCACTCATGCAGGGCACTCAATCTGTTGCCATGCCTGGTGATGCCGTAATGCTAGGCGCTCGGTGTGGCTGAAACAAACTTGAATTGTCAAATGTTGCATCAACTTGCAAAACATGACAAATTAATCATGTGTAGTTATCTTTAGTCATTTCTATAGATGTTATCCGACCATGACTTGCTCGTTATGATGTATGTCATCATGTGAGATCTTGTTGATGAGAAGAGCACGTTCAATTTTGATCGACTTATGTTTGTTCAATTTTGATTGACTTCTGTTTGTTCAATTTTTCCTTTAGTTATGCTACACAATGTCTCCCGTCTTGCTTTCTGGATACATGTTTTTCTGCTAGTGTGATGGCAAGATAGCAGCGATGCCTTTTTTTTGCTAATTAAAATCCTATGAGGGTATTACATTTTTTGTGCCGATTTCAAGAATTGTGATGGCTTTTCCCCCCAAAGTTTTAAAACGATGTTCTAGGCTTTCAGCTGGATTTAGAGTTTTGTAGTCATCCTGAAGAGTGCTAGCACACGTTTTTTAGAGACATTGTTTACTTGTCTCCCTATATTTCACAGTGAACAAATTTGTATATTTTCTTGATTGCGCAATACAGATGCAAGACTAAACTTTGTGATCATATTCAGCACAAGAAATCTTATTAGCAATTGCGACGTCCAAAACATAACATCAAAATAGTTTTCTATATAAACTGTTTCCTACACCTTACGTATCAACATTATTTGGCATGAGATATATGCCTTGCTACAATTTATCCATCAAAAAACATTTGAGGCGAGAAATATATGCCTTGCTACAATTTATCCATCAAAAAACATTTGAGGCGAGAAATATGCCATCTCTAATTTTTCCTGATGACCATTTCTCCCTCATCCATCTTGGCAAATTCCAAAGGTTCTTCGTCTCCTTTCAGAATACTCATCAAAAACTATTTGGGGCGAGAATGTGTCGTCTCTAATTCGCCTCATGATCATTTCTTGTTCATCCTTCTTGGGGAATTTTGAAGGCAGTGCACCATGAGTAGAACATAAGTCACATTCGTCATCTCTTTTCAGAACTATCTTATGCAAGTTGGGAGATCGCTGCAACACAGATCTTATGAATGTAAATTGTTGTTCTACTGACCTGAAGCCAATGAATTCTAGCTCTTTCAAAATCCAATTCTTGGTGTCGTTAAAGTCCACATCCCACTGAGGAGTCCTTCTTTCGGTGTTGTTCTGTCGTCTATAATTGTCTTCCACTTCACCCACATCGCATACATGGTCCCATACCTATTGGGTGAAAAAAATGATACACATGCACTTGGATTTCAGTGTTAAACAACTTCCAGCTAAATTTATCAAAAACTAAGACCTCTAAATTTGGATAACCGAAGAAATGCAACATAATTACCAAGAAATCACCTCAATATGTAACATCTCAATAGATGGTGCCGCTGCAAGAAAGGCCATCGTCCATAAAATGTCAAATTCAACAAAGATACCATGCACAAACAACTTCCTTAGCTTGTTGAAAGCTGGGCAAAGCTGCCTCATTTCAGGTTGCATCCAAAGCTGATCAGAAGATAAACAATTAAGAGTTGATAATTTAGGAGCACAGAAATGACGTTATGAAAGATTTTACAGCTATACTTAATCAGTATCATGAATAAACACATCTATGATATAACTCTAGTAGCTGTGATAACTAACAAATGCAAGCAAAAATATGATCACTTCGCAAAAATGAAATATAACTCACATTTTCTCCTTCGAAATCCAACGTGAGAGTATGTATGTATGTGGTTCCATATAGAAGCTCACTTAACTTAAGTTCCTCATAACACCCTCGCGTACTTATGAGTTCTAATTCTCCAAGAGACGGGACAAAACCAAAGACCAATGGCACATAGTCAAAAAGCCAAGAATTCAAATTGAACTTCTCCAATTTTGGAAGGCAGACCACCTCAAGTTTCCTAAAGCCACACTTAGTGAGCTCTAGAACACATAGTTTTGAGTTTGGTGCATCAATCTTAAAAGGATACACATCACCACCAATATCACACTCAGTGAGGCTTAGATGCTTTAGTTGCTTGCAGCAGTCAAAGATGATATGGTGCATGTCCAATTTGTCAAAGTCTACATTTTGTAGAGAGAGCTTTGTGAGGCAGCTGAGCACACTAGGGTGGGCAGTGAAAAGAAAATATATTTCTTGCGCTCGCTGCAGCATATCCTCCTCACTGCATTCCAAAGAATCTTTCTCATCGAGAATGGCGAGATCTAAATCTTTCAACGAACCACTGTTGATTGTGTCACCTACAAGTAGGCCAACTTCGAACAAGAAAGTGTTTATAAAGTAGAGCTTAAGGTGCAGACTTGAGATGGTAAATTCCCTCCGTGGCTTAACCAAGAAACTCCTGGTGGCTTTCGCTACAGATGCCATTGCTTCCTCCATATCCTTCGTCTTGATAGGTTTCAGGTGTGGGGTAGATAGGAAGTCCTTGACATCGATGCTGAGCTCAGGCAGCAGCCAAGGCAGATGACTCCACCGTGTGGAGAGCGCACTTGTCCTTGCAGTCGTACGTGTATCGACTCTTCCCAAGATAAACAGTAAAACATCGTCGGTCAACGCGCTTAGCCTGTCTTCACCCTCTATTTGCTGCAACATATATAAGTAGTTAGGGATCCATTAATTATTTGGCTGCCAAATAACTGAATTCAGATATCCCAAGCAGAAAAACTCTTGTTTTTCTATAAAAAAGAACACTCTCGATCTCTTGTTTTAGATACAAGAACAATGCTCCATATAGTGTGTAAACTGTTGGATGAGGCTGAATAGCCCCCGAACGATCGAGCACACTCGCTATTGGTATCTGGTCAATCTGGTGTGCCGTTCAGGTTCGTCGAGGACATGCATTTATATTCGTATAAAATATGTTATATTGGGCTCAAAATCATGTTCGTACCATGTTGCTAGATTGATTTGCCATTCATCAACACGACGCTTTTCTCATCGTGCTGGATTAAGAGCATGCACAAACTAAAAATCTTTGTCCGTCCTTATACAAACTTGTTAGATTTACAAGTACACTAGCATATACTCCTAGGTATGAGTTGAAGACATAGCTCTGTAAGAAGAGAAATTATATATGAAGAGAAGAGAGGGGGGTAAATCCGATGGCCGGAGAGGGAACATACTTGGCTGTGGGAACTGCTGCTATCAGCTTTATTCGCCTCCATGCCCCCAGATCAATCCGATGAGGGTTCTCTAATTAAGGCGTGTGTTGCAGGCAGGACGGTCCATTGTTGCAGGTGGCTGATGATTCCTCTATTCTCGATGAAGTTAAACCGCAGAAAAAAATAGCACGCTATAGCGCCGCTAGTAGCATATTCTGTAATGCGCTATTTTTTTCATCGGCCGGTAGCAGCAAGCAAAACCGCACGCCGGCGTTAGCTCCCTCCTTCGTACGTATCTCAGAAGAGATCCTCTACTCTGCGGTGGCGTGGGTGGAAGGAAAGCGGAGGACTCCGACGATTTGCAGCTGTTTGACGTGAACGATGGATCGATACCCTCCGTGTCTCTTTTTTTTCCCTTTTATTAAGAGGAATCCGTGTCCTCCTAGGCCCTGTTAATTCCAGCCCAGATGGCCGCACACGGGCGTAGAAAGCCTAGGCCCTGTTAATTCCAGCCCAGGACAAGGCGTGGAAAGCCCATATGGGTCAAGCCTAATTCAAGCCGGCTGCACAGGGCGGAAAACAGAGGCCTAAACGCTCGCTATTTCAGCTCACAAAACGATAACTCAAAAAAGAAAAGAAAAAAACGACAACGTAAAGGCCAGTTTTTTTTTCTCGAGTTGAACGACAGTTACTACTGTAGCAGGTTCGCAGCGCAAACCATTGCACTTCCGAAATCATTGCGAAATTTCACGTTCACGAGCCAGAGAAGAGATAGCAAAGAGATAGTTCATGATATTAAAACCATTCAGGTGCACATCAAAGGCGAGCAAGGAGCGTGTCCACATGGGCATTAGCGGTACTGTTTTATCGATCGATAATTTTTTATGGTCACAGTAAAAAGGCCTCACACATGTGGCCCAGCCCCGCACTCCATGCAACCTCTCCTCCTCTTCTCGTCTTCCTCTCCCTCACCGCCGCCGCGACCACTGCTTCTCCATACCCTGCCTCGTGTCCCTTCCGCCGGTGCGATGCTAGCCACACCGCAGCCACTCGTAAAACGGCGACGATGAGGAGGCTCAGCCCTTGGCGCAGACCCGCGCTCCCAAGCAACGGCAGCGTCGGATTTCTCTGTCTCGCGGCGCCAAGCCTCCTGTCTGCGTCGCGACGCCGCCGGCATGGAGGCCCGGGCTCTCGCAGCCTCTATGGTGGATGCTCCGGCGAGGTCCCAGACCACATGGCGGGGAACTGGCGCGGCTTCCAGTCGTGGGTTCCGGTGACTCAAAGCCGTACATCTGAGCCGCCGCCTCCAGCTCGTTTATTCCATATTCCGCCTAGGGCTTCACCGCCATCGCAGATCCTTCCTTCCGGTTGCTGCCGCGTTCGTCTGCTACGGGTCCTCCGTGTTCGTGACTCTGTCGACACCGAGAGAATTTCTCATCCGTCAGGTATTACTCCCAACACATGCTTCTTTCGTTTTGGGGGTCGATCGTGCTTCCCTTGTTGGCTGCCAATTTCACGAGGGTCGTCACCATGCTGGTGCTACTTTCGTGTTGGTTATGCTAGTGGTAGGGCTCTAAGCTGGGTTGAGTTTCAGCATGGACCCTGTTTTTTGTAAGCAAGAACCGATGAGCCTAATTGAAATAGTAGATCGTTGGAGCAAGCTACATCCGTTAGGTTCCTTCAAGGAATTAATCAGCTGGTGACGCAGTGTTTAGCGTCGGCCTATGGTGCAAAATTTGTTAGATTTGGTTCCTGTGTAATTTTTATTTGTCCAGTAAAAATCAGGTTAGTGTTGCCCCGAGAGGAAAATAAACCACCCACAAAGATTAATGACATGGCCGTGGTGTTACCCGATTTGGTGCATGCCAAGGAAGGAAGTCATGTTTTTAGACCTGATCTTGTAATTACTTTAGTGCCTGCCCAGAATAACAGTGTGCACATGTGGTAGGTACAGTAAGACAACTAGGTACTAGAAAAGGAATAAGCAGGTTATGAAATTCCTAACAACTCTTTCTGTGTTGATCAAATTGGTGATATGTGCTAGCTGGGTAGTTAACAAAGATTCTCTGGTACTCTTTATGTGAAGTGCGTGTTTCTCAACGTCATTGCCTCGTGTGTTTTCGGTCTCTTCGGCTTTACAAATGAGATGGCCGGCATCTTCAGTTCAGGTTGGCCGCTTGGTCATGTGCGGCTGTATAGATGGTTGTTCTTGTTCTGATGATGTTCATGGATTTGTTGTTGATGTTAACCCGCTTATAGCCTGTTCGTTGTTATGTCGCATCAAGGTGTGCTCTCGTTGTCAAGTCTTATTCAATTATTGTGCTGACCTGTGTGGTCCCTTGGTGTGTTCTAAGGCCAACCTGCAGCATGGCTATCTCACGAGCTCACCGTTGCATGGTTTGATCTGATTTTGTGTGGTTCTAGCCGGTGCTTAAATTTTGTCCACATATTTATGGATGAAGCCCACACATACATACTCATGGATTTGATTTTGCGCTATGCCCTTTAGAACAATCAAGCTATCAGGTGAGAATTGATTCGTGGCTCTTTCTTTTTTTGAATTGGTTGTTATGTGGTTCTTGGGGACTCAAACTCTGTTCCATTTCTTTTTTACCTCCTATTTATGGACTCACTTTTGTTAGGGAGTCGATTGAGGACCAAATGGGTATCTTGTCGCTCATCTCCAGCAAGTCAGGCGTCAATCTGTCCATGGCGGAGCAGAGAATGCGTGACCACAACCCACCCAACTGACAGTAATCCTTTGTTCTTGCATTGCATTGCAACCTCATGCTTGACTGCACATCTTGGTTGTGTGATGTGATGGGAACATATATTGTCATACCCTCTTCTATGTGTTGTTTCGGGATGCTTATATGCATACTTGCTAAAAGAACTATACATGTTCTTTTCTTATAAAGTTCAGATCTGACAACCAAGGGAACATTACCCATCAACTAAAGACACAGTACGAAGATAACCCAGTAAAAAATACTCAGTTCTTCATGCCGATTAAAAAAACAATTAACCAGTCCCTCCTTTTAAATTGGTTGCTTTGCTATATTGCTAGGTTTGAAGGCGGGCTAGGTTCAATTTTTTAAGATGAGCTAGGTTTGATGATGCACCTTAAGCAATAGTTTATGAATATGCCAATTACTGTGGCTGGCTGTGACATTCTTAAATGAGAAGTAGACAGGCCTTGTATAAGATGCATTATACAGTTCTAATCAAGTAATTATGGACATGTTCAATTATAGGCCAAGCCCTTTGGTGTGCTAAATGATTAAATGTTGTTATCTAACTGAAGCACTTGGAACTTCTGTGCAGAGGGTTATTTTTTCCTTTAAACAAATGAATGTCAGCTCATAACATATGACGATGCTATCCTAACTGGCTAATTAATTTGGCCGTATGAAGTTGTATATTTAAGCCGCAGGTGTTTGTTCTAGTGCATGGAGTTTATCGTGATGGCCCTTTTGAGTCTCCCCTTTCTGTTCGAACTTCAACAGAAAACTAACCAAAGATTAACAAGCATGATATGGTAAATTTAAATTGTCAATTTTAAACTTCATACTATAATATTTTACATCTGATTGGTGCTCATGTCTATGTATTCTAACATTTTATTTGCTTGACACCCTTCAAGTTGAAAATAAACTATGAGTCATTGATGACATTACTGACTGACTGTGTTGTATTATAGGACTAACTATAAGTAAACTTTTTCAAGTCAGCATATTGTGATGTTAGCATGCCCCCTGAAGGACTGCGGGAGTTCTTGCCACGCTTAATACAAGTATATGATTTTCCTTGTCCAAGCTAATGCTGCTTAATCTTTCCCCTGTTTACAGTTTTAACATCTGCCTTTTGTATTTATTTCCTAGACTTTGGTGTCAAACATGGTCTACACTGACGATGATGAATCACTTGTTGATGCTGAGGTGTGGTAAATTTCTTTATATCCTACATGTCTGAGCTGGTTATTGTCTGACAGTGGCATGCTCTGATAAATATTATGTGTTAGCCGCACATCACTGAGATTCCATGCTCTTCCTTATAGGATGTAAAAGATAGGAATCAACAAAAAAGTCCATTTTGGCTTACTACTATATTTCCAAGGCATATGCCCGATGTCAGACCGCTTATTAAGTGCTTTCGACTTACTTGACTGTATTTTAGTTGCTCGTGATTCTGCTTTGTCCTAGAAAGCAAACAATGCAAATTATATGGATTTTATGATTCAGTTCATGTTCATCACTTGTCCATCCTTGGTACAACATT